CAGCTACTAAGCAGCAGCAGCAGCAGCAGCTACTAAGCAGCAGCAGCAGCTACCAAGCAGCACCACCAGCTACCAAGCAGCAGCAGCAGCAGCTACCAAGCAGCAGCTACCAAGCAGCAGCCACCAAGCAGCATCACCAGCTACCAAGCAGCAGCAGCAGCAGGGACCGAGTGAGCTTTCCTTAGAGTCTTTCGTGCCTCAACATTTGGTCTTGAACAATAGCACATATAGGTGCTGCCTGAGTAATTGTAGAAGGGCGACGTGGAAAGACATATATATATATATGTGATATATCTGTTTTTTTAACGAATAAATGCTCACGATGCAGCCAGCAGCGGTGTGCATGATTGACATCTGGGGGTTGTATGCGAACATGTGTCAGCGACCGAAGACTCCGTCGCAACGCTTGTGCATGCTCCCTGTCGCTCGAACATGGAACGCGGACTACCATGAGTGAAGCAAACAGCCCATTCAAACATCTGACTGGGTTCTGTCATTCATGTGTGAAGTAAGTATCATCTTTTGATCTGCATGGATAGCGGATAGTGCATTCTGATTTGTACTCTTGGGTTGTGGGGTGGGTACATGCCTGTACAAGCTTCTTAAGGATATAACTATAATGAAATTAGTATCGTTTCACGACTCAGAGGGAATGCAACTACTCTCGATTCTAACGAATAGGCTTTCTTCAGCACCAACAGCAGCCAACAACCCCAAACAGCAACAGCAGCAAAACGGAGCAAACAACAAGCAGCAGGCAGCCATGCAAGCAGCAAGCAGCAGCAACCAGCAAGCAGCCAAGAGCATCCAGCAGCACCAGGCATGCAAGCAGCAAACAACAGCAACCAGCAAGCAGCCAAGAGCCAGGCGCAGATGAGATGCCAGCAGCAGCAGCAGCGACCAAGCAGCAGCAGCAGGTACCGAGGAGGAGAAGGGTCGAGTTGAACCCCGCGAGGGGGGTGGGGGGTGTAGTCCTGATATATCCTGATATATCAGGTGAAAGCGCTCAGACTCAAGTCCTGGGCTCCCACCCTCCTTGCTAAAGCAAGACAGACTCCAGCTAGCTACAGCTAGCTTTCGTGATAACTATAAAATCTATAAATGAAAAGTTGAGGGATCCCATCTCCAACATCAAGAGGGTCACCTTTGTCGGTCACCGGTCGGTCCTGGTTGTTTGTGCGGCAATTAGCTGGATCTGCTTGGCCGCCGCGAGCGACGCATTGTTCAGCACCGAAGCGGCTGGGCCACTCAGCAGCTCCTCCAGTGTGGCAGCAGCCTGGCCGGTCGCGGGTGCGTGGAGACCAAAGGAGCCGCCTTTGGTGTTCTCTGTTGTTCTAAGGATCAAGATGGATGAAGAAGTTTTGAACTTTGTTGTGCGGCAATTGTGCGGAAGTTCGTTGACCAAACGTTTCGCACTCATGGTGAAATCTCCTTTTGAAAGGCGCGGCTCGCGCCTCCAACGGCTTTGTCTCGCACTGCTGCAGGGAAGCCTCGGGTCGAGGCTTCCCAAATAAAAGAGAAAACTCGAGGCGACCGGTTCAGCCAAGGTTTGTTTCCGAGAAGCTTCAAGGCTGCTTTTGGCAATCTCTCTCTCCTTCTTCTTGGTATCGCCTTGGCCTCACAAGCCAGATCCTCAAGGAGTGAAGCTTCGCAGCTTTGGCTCCCACCTCGAGATCCCATGGCTAGGCTTCCCCAAATGTTCACTTGCCTCAGCGTGGCCACCCGCAGCTTTAGGATCGATGATAAGCTAGTGGCCTGCATCCCTCGAGATGAAAACTCTCTGGAAAGAAAAATGCTCTCACAGAGTCATAGATGATTAGATGCTGGGCTGGTTTGCTGCAAATCGAGCTGCCCGGTGTGCCGCTAAATAGGATCGTTTTCTACTGCCCCACGGACACTTGCAATCCACTTCTGACCCAGTTCTAAACCACCAACCCACCACCAAGCGCCGGTCTAAGAGACCGCTTCGAGTCGGTTCTCTCCCACCCGGCCAGGAGAGGGAAAACCTCTCATTTGTTGAGTTGGCACCCAACCGTCACCCGATCACTGCCGCCAGGCCACACGCCGAATTCGCCCTTGAGCTTTCCCCACGCTTTTCGGAGCACCGACCTCGCTTCCTTGGAGGATGTGGCGACAGCATCCACCTGGGAAGGGAGTTAATAGGCCGGAAGCGAGGAGGGAGCAACCAGGTGGCGGTGCTTTGACGCAATCGCAAGACCAGCAAACCTTCTCATTTCACTTTGTTGAGTGTCACACCAGGCTTGGGTCCACTTGACCCCTGCCTCTCGTGCCAATTGGCTCAAAGATGGTTTCCTCTGCCGCCTGACAAGTCACCCGGAGCTTGCTTCACGCCACAAAGAGTCCCCAAAGGACATACCAAGCGAACTAGCGGCATCCCAACACCTTGTCCAAAGCATACCCGGATCTGCCAATCTGATCCACCTTCCCGTCTGAGCCGTCCTCCTCCACCTCACAAGTTCACTTTGCTCTGTGGCTCCATGCTCTGCCTAGGCCTAGACTAATGCTCACAAACATGGGAGTGCATGTCTCCTTGTCACAAGGTCCACAGCCGCAATTTTGCTGGCCCATCCTGAGACACTGGGTCAATTCCCAAAGACAAATTGGAGGTTAATCTAGCTGCAAGTCCGTCACAGCCAATGCAACCAAAAGCAAAGTGGCCTTGTCTCTCAAGGTCGCATGTTTCGGGGCGGCGTGTCTTCTGCACTGAGCCAAAAAGCTTTGAACGATGAACAGGCCGGAGGAAAACGATCCAAAACATCCGGGACACTCCATGACCTATGGAAAGATAGTGCACAAGCACCGAACGAGGAAAGCCAGTACGAAACCACCCACCCAGGCTATCGGCGCCGTCTGGGCCGTCGAAGAGCATCGGCCGACACACGGTGAAATCGAATGATTTCGAAGTTCTCAGGCCAGGGTCGAGGCCGCCTCTGGCTCCTTGACGGGCCTGTGCCAGTGTGGATGTGCGATTCTCCCCACTATGATGGAAACGCGCTTCATCTGCGCTCTGGAACTCAGTCAATATTCACTGAGCAGCCGGGCGTCGTGCCCAACACCTGTGCCCCACGCAATTGTAGGTTCACCTTGGTATAGTTGGACTCCATTGACAAACATGGCGAGCTTTTGCGAGTTTAGCCTTCGGCTGAGTCGTGCACACCTGTGTTAGCTGCTGACCCGCCGCTGGCTGCCACATGACCAAAGTCGAGGACCAAGAAGCCATCACCGGGTGGAGGCCTCATTTAAAAACAAATAACATGTCTCTCTACAGGAATAGCTACGGGAGAAACCATCCATATCCCATCCACCTCGAATTTGGGGGCCTGTTTGATGATTCACCAGATATATATTCATCAGGATCTGTGCTGAATGGTGCTGACATCTTGAGGGGACAAGCCCCGCTTCCTGTGCGAAAAAGAACTTCACCCCAACCTGAAGGTCGGTTCGCCAGACTCATCAACCTCCCAGGTTAAGAGATGCAGTTCAAGCGGAGTGAGCACAGGCTACGGGCACGCGCTACGTGCACGCGCTATGAGCGCACGTGCTAGAGCGAACGCCGTGAGCCTCAAGTTGTCCACCTTCATAACTTCCCAACCTCGCTGAGCGAGCCAGCTCAGAACCAAAAAATAGATTTCAGACCATCTGTGCCCAAAAATGGGAGGCACAAAACCTGGAGTGTTCCACCTCAGAGGTCCTTTCCTGGTGGAATGGGTGCAATTTTCAGTGAAAAAGCGTTTGACAACCTCGAGTTGATCAATCTCACCCCTTTGGAAATAAAAGAGGAGTCAATTTTGAATAATAACCCCCCGCCATATGAAGAGGTTCCATCCAAATGGGAGGGGTTATGCATCAAGAGTCTACATTAGAAGGCAGTGGAGTTGATGGGCCGCAACAGGTCTCGCCTTGGCTGCTGGAGGCACCGACCATCCGTTGGCCTGGAACAGATCGGACAGAGGGACCCAGGGCGATGACTCGATGACATCGTTTGGCAAGTCCAAGCTGTTTGAAGATGTAAACATGATGTAAACCGGAAGATTGTAAAATGATGCAACACTACACATTGGAAAGAACATCTCTGAACTCGTTCAACGATGGATTTCCCAAGGAGAAAGCTTCAAGCATGTTCAAGCGGTACAATCTGCAAGCACGGGCTTTTGTCCGGAGAAAGCAACAAGTCTTTGTCTAGAGTGATCCCAGTGGATCATACTCAAATTCATCCTCCGGAAGGTTGTCCCAATCGATAGTGCAGCCTCGGTGGTCCAAAATCCTTCAAGTCCTTGAAATTGCTATGAGTCGTCAAGTGACATGCCCCTGCGCCGCTGAATGACTCCATAGCAAAAGGATGCCAAATGTGTAGCTGTCTTCTACGAGCACAAGTGCCAAACAATCTGAGAAAAAAAAGAAAAAACACCAAAAGCCAGCATCCTGAGTGCCAAACCGTCGGTTTCAGAGCAGGGCACCCATGGATGAGCCAAGCACTCTTCAATTGACAAGCGCTTTGACACGTCCTGCGTGACCACCATTGACCGCTCCTCGTCATTGAACCATCCGCACCCACATCGGGTGTCGGGCCACACCGGCCACACCAGTGTACCACAAAAGGCCTCTTGATGGTTAATGAAAGGATAGACCTCCCCATGTTACTGGTTTTTGGATCTAGTTGGTCAGGGTGTGACAGGGTTGCTCAATGTCTACAATCCTGAGAGTGCTTGCCGAACTGAGCAACTTGGTCATTGGCGCTAGGACTCTGAACGGGCCTCATCATTGCCCCTGACCAGTCCCATGGCTGTCCTTCTCCAGCATTTTTTCAAGAAGATCTTTAGCTTCTTCTGACACGTGATGTAGCGCTGTCCGGTCATACTCAGACCTCTCCAGAAAGTGGTTATCAAGCGTTTTTCATCGCCCATGAACTCCAGCACAGACACATACATTTCACATCATTTCACATGTCGGGCTCAATATCAACCATCTGATGAACAAGCGGTCCGCGTCTGCGCAACTAAGGGGAGCTCCGAATGATATCCATCTCGGTCCTGCCCCAAGGAAAAAGGCTTTTGAGACCATATTCAGTCATGGGTGGTGTCAAGTGGGTAAGGCTACATTCCTTCAAAACTTGTGACTCACATCCAGTGTCGTGCTTCTGCCGCCCCTCCACCCGACTCTCAACGTCCCCAGACTAACACGGACCCTGAGTGGGCTCACTCGGGAGCTTACGGCTCATAGATGGCCGTCGATTTCCTGCATACGTTGTAAACCTCTTTTCTGACTGGGTTTCTGATATTTGCATCCAACGGTGTCATTGATGCCTCTACGTTTCATGCTTTTAGCAGCCCCAAAAACTACTCAGTCTTTCAAGAACTTCGTGTCTTCCAACGCAAAGTTCTGTCGGCCACAAAATCGCTCGTTCAAGAACAACACCGGAGAGTCTCACATGTGATGTTGTACACATCACGGTGAACGCTCTCCCAAACCTCAAAAGTACAAATACCCCGGCCGCCGAAGGCAAGAAACACCACGGCCGTCTGCGCACCGTGGCCGTCCATCTAGATACTGCATGATACTTCATCTCATAGATTCTATATATCTCTCGCTCTTTTTTGATTCCTTTTTTGAATCATCCGTGGCCATGAGAAGCCAGTGGAACAAACCCAACAAAATGTAAGCGTCCTGAATGGAAGCTTCCCAGTCAAGCAGGTGTACAAGCACACACCGGTGGACCTGGCTTTGCCGGACTGACTGGCGAGAGTCCGACCGTCGCACGGATCGGCGCAGGGATCGGCTTGGCACGTTGGGCATGGTAAAGCACTCAGCTCCACTGAGCTCCAGGCCAAACATCAATCTTGGAACTAAAATCCACAGACCTTGGAATGGGCGCACAAGGTAGGGGGGGCGCCCTGCTTGCTGGACGGGCTGCCATTGGGACATTCTCGCAGAACAATCGGCTCCCACGAAGTCCGTTTGTTCCGACGGAGAGTGCGGTCAAAAAAATCGAGTTGTACAGTCATACATACATGAACAAACAATTAAACAAACAAACAAACACACAAACAAACAACGAAGCGCAAGGCATACAGCATACAGTCCTTTTTAGATCCATGTTGAATCTTGCAGTTGGTTTAGGGTGGACCAGCTGTCACCCTTCAGAGGAGTGCCGATCCTGGCTGCTTCTCAATTTCAAAGCAAACCTCGCTAAGCAAACAAGAAGCTCTAATCAGCTGATCTGTACATCTTGCGACGTTTGAATACCGTATCATTCCATACACATCTTCAGATGGAGAAAATTACGGTGAGCAATGCCCAGCACACTTATGATCACTTATGTGCAGCTATTTGGCGCTTCGAGGCCGCTTTCCTTTGGGGGGCTTCGGCGACCACTTGGTGCCTGTCCACCACATTGATCCTTTGGCTTTTTGCAAGTCTGGCACTTTGGGTGAAGCCTTCTCGACAATCACTCGAAGAGGCCCTAAACGGCCAACAGATGCCTCCACCGCCGGCAGGTGATGGATGTGGCTGAGAACTTCTTCTTGGTGTTCCCAGCTCATTTCCACAAAAAAGGTGCCGGAACCCTCTCTCTGCCCAACTATCACAATTCGACGGTCAAACGAGACACGTCCGCGTACAACGGCGCTTTGTGGGCGAGACTTTGCTGGCTTCTTCTCTTTGGGAGGCTTGATCAAGTCCTCACCGGCACCTCTCGCCTCTCGCTCGGCAGCGATCATCTGAACCACTTTCTTTCCACGTTTGCTTTTCACCACTTGCACGTTCTCCAACACAGGCTTGCTCAAAGCAGTGTCCTCGCTCATGAAGACCGTGCAGGCAATACCTGATTCTTCATTGGGGAGTTGAACGACGATCATGTCACCAATGCCAATGGTAAAATTGATTGGGAGTCTAGAGGGCAATCGACCATTGGATCCCACTAGATGGGATTCCCAGTCCAAACACCAGCGCATGCCAGCTTGCGGAAGACTGTTGACTTGCAGCTCTTGATGTGGTACATGCCGCAAGTGTACTGGCTTGGCCCTGACATTCTTGACGTAAATGGCAGCACCCGAAGCCGTGGGTTCCGTCTCCTTGGCCATGCGATCGAACAGGTGACGGAGGATCTGGCTGCAGTTGTCTGACGAGAGCAACTCAAGAGAGGCCTCCGGCTTTTCACTTTTCCAAAAGGCTGAGAAGGACTTGCCAACTAACTTCAGTTTCAGCCTCAGGAGCGCAAAGAGATCTGCGACTTGCGAGATCGAGCTGGGTAAGGACAAATCGCCTGCATGATAAAAGGCGCAGTCCACGCTATGGCGGGAAGAATTGGGCAGTTGAAAATGGTACGGTGGATGTGGCAAGAAGAGAGGAACTTGAACGCTAAAGCCTCGAAATTGTTCCTGGTGCAAACAGACTTTTCTAAGCACCTGCAATGCATCTTGCGTCCTGTTCCCAAAAACATCTTGCAAAACAGAGATGCTGAAAGATACGAACTCCTCAAGTTGGAGAACCCCATCTTTGTTGGCATCTGCCATGAGAAAGGCCGCTTCGCCGGTCCATTTCTCACTGAGAAAGGCATCCGATGCATCACACTCCGTGGCCACGATCTTGCTTGCTGCCAGCCACTCCCATGGAGTGAGCACTTCTGTCGAAGATCTCCAGCTGTGGAAGACCTCCTTCAGCTTCGTCCGGACCTCCCAGGCTCCATGCGGCCCCATGCGGAAGCGCTCGGCCATGGTGCTGGCCAGGTCACGCTCCGCCACATCGAGGAGCCTCTGGACCGAAGGTAAACCGCCTTTGGAAGCTTCATCAAAAGAACTGAGGCGCGTCTTGCAGAATTGCATGAAATCCATACGCCCTTTGGAAGATGGATCCCCCCGCAGCATGCTGGGATAGGCCCTCACGATTCTCTTCAAGTCACCTTGCTCTAGTCCATTCCGAATTTCCAGCTTCACAAAGTCACTGCAGGAGATAGTGCCTGATTCACCAATGTCATATGCTTGGAACAAATCACTCCACTTTTTAAGCAGATTGCTGTTGACCGCAGCAAGATTGCCAAGCAGTTGCGCTGGCGACAAGATCAACTGCATCAGTTGGGATGTCTGCCATGGCAAAGTCGCCCAACTATGTTAGAGCATGTTGCTCCAAAACCATATCGTGGCTTGTGCATGTCAGCATGTCTGAATGTCGGTGTGGTTGTCGTAGTACACTTTCACTGGCACACCTTGAGGTGAAAGTGTGCGCGCGGACGTAGGAAACTTCTGAGGCGCGTAGGGAAAGTATCTAGAGTAGAAACCCCAGAAACAATAGCAAAATTCCTTCGTCTGTTGAAACGCTAAGCCTTCGTTTGGCTTTAGGCTTCAGCCCCCAAGCATCTCAGCAACTGGCCCCGAAGGCGAGGTTTCTGCAAGAACTGCCTCTCCTCACGAGCCAACGAGCCAAACGTTGGAAGCACATGTTAGGCAAGAAAGGCATCACGGGCTCCAGAACAAAATGAAAAAACTGTTCAGGTGCAGTATCTCAGCCCAAACAAGCTCCTGAGCCACCCCAGCTAAAGGACGCATGCACCGCATCCGCCTAAGTCTAAGAATGCCAGGCCCAAGAAGTCGAGCCATTCGGTGCTCAGAAGCTGGCGCTCCCAAGCTTGGCTTTGGCCATTTCGGGCGCCATAATGGACCTTTGCACGTCTGAGACGTCTAGTCTAGTCATTCGAGTTCCCACCTGAAGAGGTCATGGGCCCCCCACGGCGTTCCCACGACGGTCTCCAACGGGCCGTGGTGGAGGCATTTCGCGACCTCAGCCCGCGCGGCCGGTCTTTGCCCGGCAAATGGACACGAATGGAACTGGTGCAGCAGCTGCGGCGTTTGCAGCATATCCTGAGGGCCACACGCCAAAGTCAATGAGCTTGACCCGACTGTCCAGGTTGACGGTGTCTCCGGTCACCATCAAGTTCCTGAGACTTCTCACCAAACGGAATGATGCAACACACCAAACACATCATGAAATCCCTAGGCTAAACGTGCCGTGGCACTCAGGCTTGAGATCACGATGTACTACGCCACGCTTGTGCATATGGTCAAGGCCATCCAAAATCTGCAGCATGATCAGCGAAAGCTCGGACAAAACGAAAACATTATTCCGACGGTCACGGTTGTATTCGGAAACTAAACGGTTGTATTAATCACACCTCCGGTACACAACCCACCTATGTTTATTGCCCCCCCACCCCACCCCCACAAATTTTCAGAATCCAAGGAACATAGTTTCTGAATACAACGCAATCGTTTCTGAATACAACGAAAACAGTTTCTGAATACAAGGAAAATAGTTTATGAATGCGACGAAATAGTTTCGGAATACGGCGAAAATAGTTTCGGAATACGACAAAATAGTTTCTGAATCCCACAATTTCTGAATACAACGAAATAGTTTCTGAAGACTAGTTTCTGAATACAGCACAGTTTCTGAATACGACGTTGTTCTTATTCCGACAGGTCCGAATATCGTAGCAAATGCTGTGCGAGCAAGGTCTGAACGAGTACTGTATGTTCGAGGAATTTGCATAGATACGCCCTCTGTTTCTGGATGCAGGTTGCTCCGGTAGGGTCTCACTAGTTTCACAAGGCCATCGGGGTCAGTTTGACTGACTGTGCAAATTGCAGGTGGCAATGCCAACGGTTTCTCTTCCCACCCTCCGCAGTCAAAACTGAAGCAGCCTGGAGGAACAAGCTTCTGGCTATTGACTCGCGCATTGGACCATCCAGTGCAACATGCTCTGCAAGTTCCTTGCCGTTGACCACCTGCCCAAACAAATGTTCCCAGCAAAGAAATACTTAGCCTAAGCAGGATCACCCTGCTCTAGTACAGAAGTGCACGTCTACCACGGCCTCCATCACAACCATCTTGTAGTGAGGACGAACTTTCCCAGAAGGATCGATTCGTGTAATGTTGGCTGTCGCAATCAATCCAGCCTCGGTCCAGGTCAAGAAAACACGGCCTACTCCACGGATCGAGGAATGACGGAGCAGGGTGATGCAGGGTGGCCCCTCAAGTACTGTAGTAGACCTATGGTAGATGACAGCCATTTGCCATGGCAAATAGGACTCCTCACTTCGATGGCATGCTTCACAGGAAACCGAGCTCTTACAATTTCAGCACAATGACATTTCTGCCTGGCTTTGGTGGCTGACATCTTGAAGGGATGACTACTGTAGCACGTGGATGCTGACGCAAAACTGATCAGGCATCGCTCTGGGTGTCCCCTGCCAAATTGGGATGCCGGCCGACGGTTCGAAGCGTCTGAAGCTCAGCTTCGATCTCTGCCAGCTTCTCCACCTAGGAGATCTCAGCCCAAAGACCCAACAGGAGATCTCACTCGGCACTTCGTGCGGCAACCGTTCGTTGAGGTTCGATTCTTGCACCTCACAGCCAGGCTCCAGCACCAATCGCCAGGTTGGGATCACCTCGTCGTCTCCGGCTTCACCCGTGTCAGGACCCTTAAGAATGGTGGAACTGCAAACACAACCACAGATTTCATACAGGTTTCAGGCCCAACTCGTCGATCGATGCAATTGTGTATACAGTATATTATTATATATATATATATAGTTTCTTTGTCTGCCTATTGTTTGCAATATTGATCTGCTTAGGGCTGGGTAAGGGATCAAAATAAAAACAAAAATAGAATCAAAAAAAATATTCAACGGGGATCAAAAAAATAAAAAAAGGTAATCAAAAAAGTAATATTCTAGCCCACTGAGGATGGTTGGGGTAGTAGTAGTAGCAGTAGCAGTAGCAGTAGCAGTAGCAGCAGCAGCAGCAGCACCAGCGTAGCAGTAGCAGTAGCAGTAGCAGTAGCAGTAGTAGCAGTCAGCAGTCAGCAGCAGCAGCAGCAGCAGCGCAGCAGCAGCAGCAGCAGGAGGAGGAGGAGGAGGAGTAGTAGTAGTAGTAGCGGTAGCAATAGCAGTAGTCACGGCGTTCACACGAAGTTAGGCCCTACATGGCGTTGTCAGAGCGCTCGGAGACAGAAGGACTAGGATACCAGGGGACCAGCGGACCACAGGACCAGAGGACCAGGAGACCGGAGGACTAGGGGACCAGTGGACTAAAGGACCAAGGGACCAGGGAACCAAAGGACCAGTGGACCAGAGGACCAAGGGGACCACATTACCAGAGGACCCGCAGACCACAAGGCCAGGAGAGCAGCAGAAGAGGCCTATCAAGGAATATTTATTTTTTGATTCGCTTTTTATTTGTTTGTTGATCCTGTTTTTTATTTTTTTTGATGCTCCTTTTATTTTTGTTTGATGCCTATGCCCTTAGGGCTTAGATTTTCTTGTACTTTGGCAAGCCGACTACGAAACTCCACTTCCATAAGAGGCTTCTCGTTCTCCACCCTCTTGGACACTGTCTAGCACAAAAAGGCACATCCATTGATATCTTTTGCATGCTACCCTCATGAAAACGTGAGTCCCCCTATTTGTTGCCCACTGACCTTCACAACATGCTTGCGGTTCCAAGTGAGACGTGCTACTCTGCTACTCCATCTATGAAGAATGACGGGTCGACGTGCAGTTCAGACGCCTCCTCCCCGGTGCCACCCGTCCCTGTGGGGCACCTTGATCGCGACAGGCTCCCCATCCTCTGAAACCCCTCGGTACCTCAAACGTCGAGGTCCGACTCGTTCCCTCGTGGCCTCCACACGGGCGCTCTATATAAGGATCCGACACGGTGCCCTGGCACGGCGGTAGCCACGGATTTTTCGGTGAAAGGCACGGTCCAAAATGTGGAGAGGTGAACATCTTTGGAGTTTCAACAAACCACTCTGCACAAAAATCCAGCGCTGTACGCAAACATCCAGGTGCACCACGAGATCCTTAAGTAGCTTGATGTAGCTTGTGAAGCAACTTCTCGGCTTCACCGCCCGTCCAACGCTCTCGGAGGTCGCCTGGGCTCCAGCACCCAGGACTTCGTTGAACAAAATCCGATATCGCCGTCCATTGTCGTACTCCACCTCCGCAATCCTCAGCAAAGATGTAGGGTTGGACCAGCAACCACCAAGACATCTGGTTGGACTGTTTTCCGGGAAAGGTTACAGGTCACCATCCAAGGCTGAGTCCGATCAAAATCATGTTCAGAAGCACCTGACCTTGAGGTGACTCTGGAGAGCCTGCATGCAGGGTTCAAGCCGCAAAGAAATCCAGCTTTTGGTTCTCTCCTAGCAGTGTGGCTCAGAATTTGGGATAGGAGGAGGTGAACGAAAGGTAGCAAGTGGGAGGGGAAAGGAGAGAGGATCGCAAGGGGTGAGTCCAAGTCTCGAGAGGCACGAGCGCTTCGAATTCGGCATTGCGTGTCCGAAAGAGGTCAGCCCTGAACAGCCCGCAACGCTCCGCCCAAACCAACCCAAAGAAACCCTAGAAGTGAAGCGCTAAGCCGAGCCTGCAGAAACCACAAAGAAGTGAGACCCGCAAACTCCCGCAAACCCAGCGAACCCCAAGCAAGACAAGTGCAAGGAAACCCTAAGTGGTGAAGCCCTACGCCAAAGAAACCCTGAAGAACTCAAGACTCAAGCCCACAACCCAAAGAAACCCTAAAGAAGTGAAGCGCGAAGCCAAGCCTGAAGAAACCCTAAACGAAGTGAGACCCACAAAACCCCAGCAAGACAAGCCCAAAGAAACCCCAAAGTAATGAAGCCCAAGCAAGACAAACCCAAAGTAGTGAAGCCCTACACCATGTCAAAGCCAAAGAAACCCTAAAGAAGTGAAGACCCAGGCCACAACGAGAGAAAAACTAAAAGCGATGCCCGAACACCCGAACATCACTCACCTACTATACTTGAACCGTTGAAAAACGGAACACCAACACAAACAACACCAAGCAACAAGTCAAAGTTAAGATCCGTCGTGACCGCGAAGTGGCAGCGGCTGCGGACCTTTTCATCACTTGAGCCAAAAGTACAATGTTCATGAACTGTGCCTATACATATGAGGTGCACTTTACACGGGAACCTTCAAGTCCCCTCATAGTGAGATGAACATATGTACAGCTAGTATTCCAGGTCTGAGACAGTCGCTTCATTGATTGAACCGTCTGTGACCTGACAATTCCTATCGAAAGACTGCAAGCTTAACCTAACAGGCTTACGAACGGCAGCTTGGGAGCGGCGCTTCAAGCAGCCAGTCACCCTCCATGCAAGCTTGGCGCTACGCTGGGCAGTAGCACTGTGCGGCATGCATTGTCTAGACTTTCATTCGAGGCAGATCTAACTTAGTTTCGAGCTGCTGCTGGTTATCGCTTAGCTTTAACCATTTCATTCATTGCAGATCTAGCTTAGCTATGAACTGCGGCTGACTATTGCTTAGCTCTAGTCATGCGAGCTCCTGCCTGCATCATAAGATGGGAGCGGACTCAGGGAGAACTGCAACAACTCCAAGGCATTTCCCCATTTGGACAACGGTAATCCTTTAGTAAACACGTCACCCTTTTGCTGAGTCGTTTCGATATGCTGGACTGTGATGTCATCAGCATTGTTGACTGTTTCGGCAGTTGAGGCCACATTTATGCGGTGGGTTTTACTCAAATGCCTTAATTTATTGGAGTAACCTTTCTGGATAATCGAGACCACGGCCGTATTGTCTTCGAAAACCTTCAGGGTCATTCCGGGGATCAACGCTTGCCATACCTCCAAGGTAGGGATAGCCTCGGAGAATAAGGCACTGGAAAATGAGACGAACTCGCTCTCCGTGGTCGATCTTGCAACCATGCTCTGCCTCTTGGAACTCCAACTCACTGGCGCAAAGCTGGAGGGGCCCGCAACCGCAAGGATGAATCCAGAGGTTGATCGCATGGATTTGATGTCACCACCGAAATCGGCAGACAAGTTTAACTGCTCTGGCGGATCACGAATGCACATTATCGGGGAGTATTCATGGGTCTTTTGCAAGTACCCAATGAGTCTTGCGACTCTTTTGTCGTCGTTGGCCGACCACACCGTAATGTGTTTCGCCAACAGAGTGACAGCAAATGTGACGTCTGGTCTGCTAATGCGACAGAGCCACATCAACTTCATAATTAATTTGGCCGAATGTGGCGAGAGCTGCCCCTTGATCTCGTCATCAGCAGGGATCAGGGCTCCATCGTCCCAAGAGGGCGAGGAATAGGCCTTCACCGGCGTTTTCGCCAGCTCTTCATACAGTTCAACGCACTGTTTTGCGAAGTCAGATGATTCTAAGGCCACTGCTTTGCTCCCTTGAAACCACACAAGCCTATGGTTTCGCCCTAAGACTCTTCCATATTCTGACGGTGGATCTAAATTTATATACTGCTTGAGGGTTTTCCAGAATCCTTCGTGTTCGGAGGCTACTCCTGAGAGTGTGAGGTCGTCTACATAGACGCTCATCACAAGAGAACGACCGAATCGAAAAACCGAGGGCATCTCACTGAACTCGACACCGTTGAGTTTTTCTTGCAAGATTTTGGAAAGGTGGGCCTGCCAGTGCGCCGACGACTCTGGATGGCCATAAAGGCTCTTGTACAGCTGCGCGCAAGGCATGTGGATGTGCTTCTTGGATTCCGGCACAAGCTCAGGCGGTAGCATCACAAATGTTCGATGCTTCGTGCCGAGTGCGGACTGAATATAGGCCCGGACGCAATCGGATGTTGAACAAGTGTTTCCCTCGATCATTGAAAAGGCTATCACTGTGTTCAATGCTGCAATTGAACTCGGAGCGGAAGCAGCAAGATCTTGGAAGATAGCGCTCAAGCCCCCCTGATCCTTGACTGCGTCGCCTCGGAAAACAATCCGAGCCTTGATCTTCCAGTCAGCTGGGTTCTTTTCATATCCCTATCACCATTAGGGCTCCGAAATGCAGTGTTTCATTGGGAAATTCCCTGATCACGTCTGCCTTTGACCTAATCTCATCTTCAATCCAAGTCCCTTCCAAAACCAAACCATCTTTCTCGCTTTTGATGGCAAGGTAAACTTCTGGGCGACCCTTCCATTCAGCGCGCTCCAACAGACGATGAACGAATGCTGGTGTTACAAACTCTTTACATCCACTCTCATGCAGCATGAGGACATCAATGGGAACACATGGCATCCCTTTGACAACATGCTGCCGATGTGAATGAATCACGCGAGGTGCGCACGGCATGCAAAACACATGAGCATTGACGACATGCGGAAATAAAGCACGCAACATGATCTGACAAAGAGGCTCTGGGTAGAAAGCTGAGTTTCGAGTGTACTTCCCTTCAAGGGGTGCATGCTTGTCGTGCGTGCACTTCAACATTCCCAAAGAATCAGCTAACCTCCTTTTATTCGTGACAAACCTCCACGGCCTTCGAGCGGGTTTGTTGTCCTTGGCAGTGATTCCTACGGTGCAGCCATCGAAAGTGGCAGACAGCAGTTGCCTCTCTGTGATCCAGGAAGCTAGAGGTTCACTCATCCACCCTGAACAATACCTTGGCCACTCAAAAGACACAAAACCACCATTATCAAGAACATGGTTTGCAACCCTGATGAACGAATGCATCATTGAAACACTTTCCCTACGCTTCTCTCGAAGGATGTTGGACAGTCTTGGGTTCTTTGCTTCATTCAACCTTTGCCAAGCACTCCAGGGACCACACTCAATGGAACCATGGATTGAACAACCAGGGATGGCTTTCACTTGCTCAACAAGTTGGTCGATGTTTGCTTTACTTGCAAGATCTATGTGTTCCTTACAAAGTCTTACAACTTGAACTCCAAGCTCCTCACCAATCCTACCGAGCGCTGAGTCTGAAGCACAGGCAAATTCAAACAAAATCTTGCTACCCGGGGAATTGTGGATCTGGCTGTGTAGACGCTCAGGCTTTGCAGCTGCTCCTAGACAGCTCTCATTGCTTGCAGCGACTGCTGATGCATACGTTTCTTGAACAATCGTTTCTGGAGCTTTCTTGGAAATGGCATCATGAGACATGGCAAGGACGGCATTAATGCCTGCACGGACACGAGCTTCATCACCCTCAGGTTCATCTTCATCATCAGAGGGCGGAGGACATTCTGGGACAATCTCCTCTTCATCCTCTTCGGCCTCTGATAAGACAGTTGGGGTGTACTCTTCGTCAATCAAGTCTCCTAGGATCTCCGGCATTTCGAAGGTCGGAGGCCCAGGTGCTGGGGCCGAAGGAGCAGCACCGAATGCTTCCTCATACCGGGCAATGCATTCGGCACTGTGTGCAGACGAATCAGCATCACAACCTTTGCATCCCTTGGTCGGGCCGATCTTCAGCATCCTACTGTACGTGATGTAAACTCTGCGTGCTTTAGACTCAGTCTCTGGGGTATCTTCGATGAAAGGAATTGGCAAAGGATCCACGTCAGCGAGTTGACGAACATCAGGATCCGAGAAGTCATTCAATGCCTTCTCTGCAAGATCTCTCAACGGAAACACACGCTCATCACGAACATAAACCTCTTGATCTGGGGCGACCACAATGGAAACATGACCTTGCTTCAAGGAGTTGTAATCCACAAGTCTCAAAACACCTTTGTACCGACACCCAAACTCAAGCTTCCAACCTCCCATTAGGGCTGGTGAAGACTTGGGGGCGAGTTTTGACTTCTCTTGAAACTTTGTTCTATAGAAAACCAACTGACCCTAAATGTAATCTGCACCTTTGAACTCCTTTGAACTCAGAACCAAAAGCCTTTGACCAATGCTCGATGCTCATGGAAACAGCTGTGTACTGGCATGTCAGGGTCCAAAGCTTTGGGAACACAGCGAATCCTGCTTGCAAGTGCATGCTTCTGCAAGACTCTTCAAAGGACCTGATTTGTCTTTCAAGTACACTGTTGTGAGGCCATCTCCTAGGCAATGATGCGTCTGACAACCAACCGAGTGAACGAATGGCTTTCAGAAGCTCCTTGGCACAGTCTGACTTACAAATGGTTTGAGGGTTCTTGGCCTTTACACCCACAAAATGGTTCAGGGCTTCCTTGACCGAATCAGTATCTTTTGTTGCCAGAGGGTATGCTTGGAAAACTTTGCTGAACAAGTCCATCACCACAAGAACAACAAATTCCTTCCCCGACGAAGATTTCGAAACGATCATGTGATCACAGGCAATTTGCTGGCCGGACGCTTCAGGAACAGGAAGATCACTCTCTTCGTCTGCTCTACGATG